TTATTTTCCCAGCGTGAAATCCGCGGCGTTCAAAGCGTATTGACACCGAAATCTTAGAAAAATTGATTACGTACTCGATCATTGTCTGATGAAGCAGTTGGACGAACCACTTTCCTTTTAATTTTTTTGATCCAATACAAACCAAAACAGTATTGATTTTTCAAAATGAAATAGATGTTCTGTGATGTTTATACTGGTCTGTCCTGGCACGGAACGTAAACGTTGTTGAAAGCAAATTTCAACATCGAGAATATGCGGATTGAACTAAACTTGTACACAAGCAACAGGGGGAAAAAGATTACTGTGATTTCTTTAAAGCAGCACCTGTAGAACTGCTGGGTGTGTACCTAGGACGGACAACACGTAAACCTCTTGAAAAATTAATCAAATCCCATCCCGAGGCTATCCCTCGAGTACTTTCGTACGGCCAGGAGGCTAAATTGAAATCCGATTTTGCGATAACACTATTATAAACGGTTTTTACAATATTCCTTCACTCAACCAGGTGATCCTTGTGATTACGTACGTTCGGGTGTTGGCCGACAATTTTTTTCTACCTTGAACATTACACCAAGGCAACCTCTATGCATACTCTAATTATTGTTTAATAGAAAGGGTTTACTAATGATGAAAGTCGATCCAAACAATAATTGATGATTATCAGATGATTTGACGTTTTGATCTCTGGATATTAGTCACCATTAATAGTACCAAATCGGTAGTAGTACCAAATACCAAAGTGAAAATCAGATTTTGAGAAAATTGGTCAGATTAAAAGCAAACACGCCATGGGATGCTCCCTTTCTTTGGGAAAAACTAAATATTCCGATGTCTCGATTTCAGAAGGCGGCTGACAGACCCTGAATTAAAATGCCCCAGATACCGTTTGATGTCTCCTTTTTTTCCCCTCGGGCTCTCGTCATCATTTAAAAGTTTAATTGAGGTTAAATGTAAGTGTTTCCGACTGAAAAACCCCATTCACGCCCTTTGACTCACAGCGATGCCGAGGATCCGACAAGTGGGCCAGCGAAGCCGCAAGACCCAGACTCAACTTTGACTTGGAGATTTTACAGAGTTAGAAAATGGGAACGGTTTCTGTTATAACGAAAACTGGCCACTGATACGTGTACGGATAAGTAATACGCCCTGGATTCTTTTCTACACTATTTCGATCACGCAATACAGCTGGTTTAAATGTCAAATATTAAATACATCCATGAAACCTTTGAAAAATATCATATTTCGCTACAAGCAGTATTAACATAAGCAAAGTACAGATTGCGGACCGTTTATATCAATTTTCAAATGTTTTAAAGAAGAGAACAAGCTAGTATTCCCATACTTATATAAACCTTTGGTGAAATGGCAAAACACGTATGACAGGCGGCCTGGTGACGACATATCTTTCACGAAGATAGGAAAAGAACATGCTACAAACATATTTAAGTTACCCGATGATTAGAAAATTCGGAGTATCCTTCACTTGTCTGCAGTATCCATAAAATAACGGACATCGGAAACCTTAGATTGAGGTGGTGATGTCTCAACATGAGAGTGGCAATGTTTAAAATATAGAAAAACAATTCGGTTTGCCACCTTTTTTAGTTACATCGAGGCTACAGGAAAGTGGCAATCAGCCTTTTAAGAAGTGAAATAGAGCTAAAAGGAAAACCACCAAAAAGGAAAGAAAAACTCAATTTTGACATACCATTACCATACTGTCTCCATATCAGATAATTTTGGAAGAAGAAAAGCCAAAAGTGTGACAAAGACCTTATGGCTAAAGAGTATTATGTTTAGAAAATGGATAAAAACGTGGCAACTAAGATAAAGGGGAAACAATCTCAACACAGGCTTACAAACTGATGACTAAATTAACTCTGTCCACAGGATATACTGACGACTTATGCATAATCTAACTATGCAACGAGACTATGTCGGACCTGTACATCAAGCACGCCGGAACATAGATTTAACGTCTACTTTGTAAATAGACCTAGTGTTAGCACACAATCTAGGGAGCCTCAGATCATCCTGGTCCGCACATTCTGGCTAGTTTTGCCATTTATTAATCTTTAAAAAGAAGGTACACAGAGAAATAGATTAACCACAGTACACGAGCTTGTATTGCAAAATTACTTGCGTTGGGTTGTCTCCGATCATCTTGGTCTGCCCAGCATAGGTCTGCTAGATGCACTAAAGGCAGTCAATTTTCTATAAAAAGGATATAAACACGAAGAAGCGGTCAGACTAACCAATATAATAAAGAAAACTAAGAAAATTACGTGAGACAAATCATCAATCTAACATATGGTCTGCTTATCATCGTTGTTTAGGAGTGTTAGATGCACTAGCATAAAAAGGACATAAACACAAAGAAACGTACTGGCTAACCAATGGAATAGGGAGAACAAAGAAAATTACTTAAGATAAGTCGTCTCTGATCATCTTGGTCGGTCCGTCATTGATAGTTAGTTGTTAGTTGCACCAAAGACAGCTTATTTTCTATAAAAAGGACATAAACACGAAGAAGCACACAGACTAACCAATGAAATAGGGAACACTAAGAAAATTACTTAAGATAAGTCGTCTCTTGGTATACCCACATTGATATTTAGTTGTTAGATGCACCAGAGGCAGATTATTTTCAATAAAAAGGACATAAACACAAAGAAACACACAGACTAACAATGGCGAAAACCATCAAATTACTGAAGATAGGTCGGCTCCGATCATTCGGATCTGCCTATTATTACTTATTAGATATGCCTTTAGTCATAGGCCATAACGTACGTATACGGTCCAATAGATGAAGATGCGATCAGTGCATCGAGACAGACAAAACAGGCAAGGGTGGGCGGACCGGGATGATCAGAAAACGAGTGAGCAACAGTCAAGGTTTTTAATCACACCTTTATATTAGAAAAGGTAAACAAGGCACCTATTTAAAGACGACAAGTGTTGCTGGTTTACAAGTTTATAGGCGTTGCATCCTTGACTTTGAAATCGAACAACAAACGCGGACTGCATCGGTGGACCCACGGCGTTCCTTTGGTATTTTTGAAAGCGTTCCAAAAGAAACACAACTAAACCTGATCTGAGGTACTCAGCGATGCTTAGGTTTCCAAATTTTGAATTAGACAGAAAAAAAAATCGCTGCGTTAACTATGCAAGTGCAAGCGGCCCCAGTGTAGTGGGTTTCAAGGGCGAAATCGAAATAAAAATCTACCATGAACACAGCAATTATCTTATCGTTTTTCTATCTTATCAACGAATGACGGAATTATAAGGAAATTAAATTTATATCGGCAATTTGTCGAAGAAGTAAGCGATCGCTACTGAAATATTAGGACGTTTAAAGATAAGAGAATTTATTTTTTACCGAACAGAACGGGCCAATTTTGTATCGACCAAAGGATAAAAATCCCCTTTAAACTGAGTACGTTTGAAAATGAACGGACGGGACGAGATTATCCGATTATCTTTCGCATCCGTTACACAAGAGTACGCCTATAAAATAACCACCTGACGAGTTGTTTTGACTAGTTTTAACGGTTTACAACGGCCCAGGGATTATTTATCTTGGAATAAAAATCCCAACTGTACATAAATTATGTCTTTAGTGTTAGAAATATCGACCAGTTTTCCACTCACGAACACTCTGTATCAAGGTATGGTCTTGAAGAAAAGGTACCTAACCTATTTAAGATAATCAGGGCAAAACTATCTTAAATATGTCAAGGTGTAGACATCTTTAAGATTGTTTTGCTTTAATGATGATCTTAAACGACGAAAGCTTGGCAATAACAACTGAATTTGCTTTTTTTCTTCAAGACCGTACCTTCATCCAGTGTTCACAGGAGGTCAGAGAAAAAACGATGTAATTTCCAAACCGGGAGGGTCGTTAAAGAACCAATTTTTAACCAGATCCCACTCATTAACGAGTTCATTTCACCGTTATCCCTAATCACGAATCAATCAAACTTGAAATATACAAAACACCTTTCATCTTTCTAATGAAATTATGAAAATGAGAATTGGCAAGGATTCACAAATAGATGCCATTTTTAATTAGATTCTGATTTCGAAATTGGAAATAGTAACGTCCCAATAGATGTAAAATAGAGAAGTTAATAGTAATAGAATAATTAAGCGTTAATACACAGGACCAAAGTACTTCCTAATAAGACCTACTTATTTGTAAGCCCGGGGGCTTTAAGTTAAGGGGCTTCTGTTCATCACGTTTCTCTCTGATTTTTACCAAACTAATAATGATATCATCAAGAAGATAAAAACAACTATAATTACATATAATAAATGGCATGGACGTAAAGTAAGGCCGGATGTAGGAGTGGCTTTAAGCTGGAGGATTAACGTTATCAGTTTGCCCAGAATTGTGATTGAAAATGAAACAGACATTTATCAAATAAGCAACAAGTTAGATTATCATTATCAACGAGGGCCTGCGTTAAGTCGCAGATCATCGCCATGGTAGAAAGCCCTCCATTGTCTGCCGATACGCGTTGGGTTTGTCAGACGTGATGAATCAAGTTTGATAAGCCTCGGTCGGGAATTCGGCCGTTCCAGTTGAAAATGTCAACCCGGGGGCGGTCTACTCCGTTGGGTCCTACAGGACCTGAAGTGCACGTTCTCGAAGGATTCGAAAGGAACGAGAACCCCTTTTGATACTCGTCCCAATTCTTGACCTTTCATCGATGAAATCTGATCTGGGTTGATTTCGATTAAACATATAAGTAAGTGGGTTATGTTGACAGATTCCCTTTATCATAAGAAAATAATAAGAATTTATATTATTTCTATGAGGCTCTTCATTAGAATGTGACTTTTACATGAACGTATATTAAAAATGAATTTATCAAATATTTCTTGACGAGCTACCAACTACTTTAAGCCAGTGCCATTCACTGACAGCACTTTAACTGTTTATTCTAAAGGGAAGATTTGGGTTAAAATTTAAATATAGATTAAAATGTACTTACGACAATCCTGGAAGGGGTGAGTTCTAGGGTCCTGTTGCCGAGGACAGGAGTGGCTGGAGCACTTCCCCTCCGGCAAGCCTTCTCGTAAGATGTGTCTGCAACACAGGTTCACACAATGAGTACTGGTACTGCTGGGGTGGGTCGAGGGAGCCGGTGGGGCGAGGGCCGGCGGAGGGGGCATCCCTTCCATCCCGGTGTCACACTTACCAACCGGTTCCCTCTACTCAGGAATGCAAGGGGCACAGAAGCCGTCGAATATAGGAGAAATAAATTAGTCGTGGGGGGAGGGGTCAACGGTGGAGTCGGGATTTTGGAGGTAATTAAAAATTGTTGAAATCGCAGTGGTGGTTCGGTACAACACTGACCGATCCCCATGGGGTCGAAACCCCCAACCAATTAACCTCATGCTTTAAACAAAACTGTTATCGATAATATATACGCGAAGTAGAAGAATTTTTTCATAGATAATTTATTGTAAAGGTTATTTTATAAGCTTTATTGCAGCACATTTCGCGTCTTCCTTCGACGCTTGAGAATCCCCTCCAAAGTAAAGCTAAACAATGCAAAATGGTGAAGCCAGAGGGCAGTAGCTGCCACGGGGATCAAAGCCCCATGTACAGCCCTTTGGGGAGGTTTTCAAAATGTGAATGCTTCCAAAAGTGTAGTCATTGGAGTAGCCAGTTTTAGTTGAGCGGAGTTGGATTGACACTGGTCAATTGGTCACGAGTCAGTTAGAGTATGGATTCAGACATTGGTCAGTGATTGACACAAGTATGGAGTAGGTAGTCATAGTTGAATGGAGTTAGGTAGGCACTGATTAATCGTTCACGAGACAGTTAGAGTTTAGAGTAAGTCACTAGTCAGTAATTGACAGGAGAACGGAGTTGGCAGTCATAGTTGAGAGGAGTTGTGTTGACACTGGTGAGTGAGTGACACGAGTATGAAGTAGGTAGTCATGTTGAGCAGAGTTAGGTTGGCTCAGGTCAATTGCTCACGAGACAGTTAGAGTTTAGAGTAAGTTACTGGTCAGTGATTGACAGGAGTACGGATTTGGCAGCCATAGTTGAGAGGAGTTAGGTTAACACTGGTGAACTGAGTACGAGTCAGTAAGAGTTTAGTCAGTCACTATCAGTGATTGACGTAACTATGGAATAGGTAGTCATAGTTAAGCGAAGTTAGATTGGCACTGGTCAATCGCTCACGAGACGGAGTTTAGAGTAAGTAAGTCACTGGCAAGTGAATGATAGGAGTACGGAGTTGGCAGGCGTAGTTGAGAGATGATGGGTTGACAATGGTCAATTGCTTACGAGTCAGAGTTCAGGAACGGTCACTGGTCAGTGATTGACAGGAGTATGGATTTGGCAGCCATAGTTGAGAGGAGTTAGGTTAACACTGGTGAAGTGGTTACGAGTCCGTAAGAGTTTAGTCAGTCACTATCAGTGATTGACGTAGGTATGGAGTAGGTAGTCATAATTAAGCGAAGTTAGATTGGCACTGGTCAATCGCTCACGAGACAGAGTTTAGAGACAGCCTCTGGTCATATTAAGCAGTGACGTGTTAAAAGTTGGGATTTGAATGCGGTAGTTGTAGGTTGCTTCCGAAATTTCTGTTGCGTTTGTAAAATCCTACATAAAGCACATTCAGGGTACTAGTCAAAATATTCTAGTAGCACTGAATATGACTGTCTTAGAGTTCAACTACCAATAGGGTGTCACAAATGTCAGAGACAAGCACTCAACAAAAGATACGGAAAATTCAGACGCTAATCTGGACTGAAATCTATGCTAAGCATACATAACTAACTTACTCATTAGACCGATATGGACATAGGGAGTCATCCAACATCAACCTTCCTTTTCAATCCACTCCTCCGCCGCATCATCAACGCTGCCTTCTACTGCACTAAGGTAGAACACAAAGCATTAATAGAGGATCGAATCAGAACACGTTTCCACAATTTTCCCAAGTTATTCTTCCACTCTAACTAAAAGCCAGAACTCTATCAACAACGTTCCACCCTTATAATCCTCCACGTCGGTTTAGATGACCTCGTCACATCCTATCCTAGTCCCTTAGACTTTAATGGCGGACGCCCTAACCACTATGTCACCGCGGTACCCTGCAACAACGTTATGCATTTAATGATATATTTATGCACGTGTCCATGGACATATTTGTTTATGCCGATATATCAAGAAAATTATAATTTTTTATTCAACGTATGTTTACAGTAACGATCAACGTTTGGTAAGGAGCCAAAATTTCACATTTTACACACGGTTTGACTTTTGATTTCTTTCCTCCGTGGTTGGCAGGCGGCCGTTTCAATTCTCTTTTACACAAAAAGGTCTGAAAAGGCGAACGACAAAACCCGTCATTTCATGAGACTCTATAATGACAATAACCCGTTCCACATTAAGTCGAGTCTCGTTAGCCGTCTTTTATTAGGGATTTTTTTTTTTCAAGAAAGGGCTTCGGAATGCCGAGTAATTAAGAAGTTTTCGTGTAACGGACACAAAGTCGTTAAGTACAGAACTTCCAGCTCCGTCTAAAATGTCTCCAGATAGTTTCGTCAAGTTTTGGACTTTGTTGATATTTTGCAACGTCAAGTCGTCATAAGAAGGCTTACGATTTGTTCTGTTGTAAAATTAGAAACGCTGACCGACATATTATGCCCCGCCGCTCCCCCAAAGGCAACTTTAAAGTCCTTTGTGCTGTCCGTCCAGCTGCAGTTCACATCCCGAGCAGCTAGAATACCCGCAAGAGGGATTATAAAAAAAAGAGCTCCATAGCTGTCAAGCGGACCGTACATAACTTTCTCATTCAACCCCTTTCGCGATAAATGTCATAATTAAAAAAATTGAGAGCCGGCTGGGGCTCTTTCGAGTGGGCCGTTGTCGCAATAACGGGGCGATTTTCTGTAAATAATTAAGGAGCCGGTTAAAGCTCCGAGACCAGGCGCTAACGCAGCGAAACTGGGCGGGCCATTACAGGATTAATAAGGAGCGTAAACACATTTTAAAAAGTCTTCAAAAATTCAAAATTAAACACGATGCTACAACAGAAAGTAAATGGGTTGAAGAAAATTTTTTACAGCCAGAAGACTTTTTTAATTGTCATTTAATGATAATTACAATTAACCTTGTAAAATTAACTATCATACACAGAGACATGCATGTCATTTCTATCTCGGAAGAATTTACTAACCTTTTTAATGAATTCAGATGTATTAAAAACACGATTCACCATCCAACATCCTGATTACTTATGATGTTGATGATCTCTGAATATTATACTGTATATACAGTTACAGTCAAATAATAAGATAGGCAAAATTTTATTTTGTTTTATGTACAAAAAATGTACACATTTTAAAATAATTTGTTGTTAATAAAAGAACTGGAAGGAACCTTTCAGAACAGGCGGATGGGCATATGGGATAGGAGCTGGCCATTGTCGGAACTCTCAGAGTTTAGGGTTGTCGGTTGAGCTTTAGGGTTGGGTCAGGAGGTCACGGGGATTGTTAGGATGGGACGTTGATGAGAGGGCTAAGTTAGTGGACTGAGCTTGGAGAGGAAACGTGTTTGGATCATGTTCATCATGGGATGAATGTCTAGGATATTGTTAGTGGTTGGTGACTTAGAAGAGTGCGTTGAGGATGCGACGGAGGACTTCTGATTGAAAGGATTAAATTCTCTGGATGTTGGCGGGCTTGGCTGAACACCACAAGCCCGACTCCGTAAGTTCAAATCGGTCCAGTTAGGTCTTGTATATTATTAGTTCGCCGTGCGTGTAGTCATTGTGGATTTGAGAACAAGTGGTCGTCTGAGTTGTTCAAACCTTTGGTTCAGTTCTTTTTTGATTTATATGTTTTCAGTATTAGATGTATCGACCACTTTTTCACTTACGAACACTGTGGATCAAGGTATTGTCTTGAAGTAGAAAGCAAACTTAGTTGCTACTGAAGCTTTCGACCTATTTTAAGGTCGTCATCAGATCAAAACAACCTTAAATATGTCTACAGATTAACATAATTACGTCACAACACTGCCAAGGACTGTGATGTAAAAACTTAATATATCAATCTGTATACATATTTAAGGTTGTTTTGTCCTGATGATGACCTTAAAATAGGTCGAAAGCTTTTCAGTAGCAACTTAAGTTTATGTATATGTTCCATGTAAGTCTGCCGTCCAAGTAGAACACAAGTTAGTGGATTTGGTTGGCAGATACCCCGTAAGTGTGAACGTCACGTGCCGGCTTTTTTGTTCTTTTAGCTTGACGCGCCATCGAGTGCACCAGTCGATAACGAGGTCTCTAGGTGGTCTTGGGTTGCTTTTGCTGCAAGAATAGGGTCAGGATGTGAGAAGAGGATTGAGGTTCGTCCACGAAAGATGAGGGTGTTTGGGTCTATAGGTCAGCGGTGTAAACTGTGTAGAGGATTAGTCCTATGATACCCCCCTGGGGAACTTTTTAGAGGGAGGACTTAACCATGAGATACTAGGTGTGGGGAAGAATTCTTAATTTGAAAAGGAGATCGGGTTCCTACTCTGTCAAATGCCTCCGTTACATCTAAAAAACTGCTGAGCAATAACGCACAGACAAAATAAATAAAAATATTCCGATAAAAATCTTTAGGAGTGGTGAAGTAATGTTCATCCAGAACCTAGGTGAATCGTGATTTTCCTAAAAATCTAGTAGGTTAATTATCTAATTAGAAAATATAATGATTAAGTTTGAACGAAAATAGTGTCCTCCTTTGAAGTTTCTTTGATTCGAGAGAGTTTTTGCCCCTTGCCTTTTTATATAGCGGTGAGCAAGTTGACTGTCCCACTCGAAATAACACCCGGAGTTTCTCGACTAAAATATACGGGAAGGTTTGAATTTAATTGATCGCAGTGAAACCACCACGGACGGTTATTATCCGCACAGGCAAGCCGTAAATAATAAAGCGTAAGGACTTCGCTAAACTAAGCATAACAGTGTCGAGCTTATAAGGCCGCGTGACGGTTTGGCCGTGTTTTATGTTAACCGCAAACACGTCCGCGCCCATGCGATTATTAACATCGGTTAAAGATTACATTGAGCAATTTCA